AGTTGTTAGCTTGGCTATGCAACTATTTTACCAATAGGGTACAAACCACTAGATTGGGGAAGGCCACATGGAAACCCTTAGTCAACAACTATGGCGTTCTTCAAGGAGCCGTGCTATCCCCATACTTATTTGCCACTTATATTTGTGATATTCCGTGTTTCTCCCGCACGAATTTCGAAATATGCACATGATGTCGTGTTGTGTCAATCCATTTCTTCTTACTCTGATCTAAGCTCTTTCACCGATAATCTTGATCAAATTCAGTCATTCTCCTCCTCATCTGGGCTAACCCTGAACCCCAGTAAATGTGTTGAGTGTTTATAAATTTTTGCTCGCTCCCCATATCCGACAGACCCCACAGCGATCAATAAAAATCCTTAATCCAGGGTGAACTGTGTCAAATATCTTAGTGTAACCATAGATAGCAATCTTCATTGGTCAACCCGCATCCACAACTGCATTGGTAAACTGCGACGCCTTTCATTTCAAATACGAAAGCTCAGGCAGTTTCGCTCATCCCAGTCAGTTATTCCTACTTTTGTTTATCAATGTGTTTTCCCCATCTTACTCTACTGTTCCCCAGTTATTTTTCCTGGTTTACTCAAACAGGATTTCAAAGTCTTACGCCGCGGTCTAACCATGAGTCGTACCTCTTCTATTCCTGTGAATGAATTAGTTGTAAAGCTTTCCGAGCATCACGTAACTTCCTTTGTGAAATTTGCCGAGAAGATTCTCACAGATCCTGACCACCCATTGCATGCAGAACTGACACTTTGTCATTCCCATCATTCAACACGCTCCCAATTCCGCCAAATTTCATCTCGAATTAACGCATACCGCAATCCAACATCATCATCAACAAAGAGCGGACAATAGGTAAACTTCGTCTTAACCTTGGATTATGAAATGTCCCGATGCCTGTAAAAACTTTTCTCCCGATTGATTATGTACTTTGTGCCGGTTAGCGTGCATGCTTTTTTTAAACTGAAATGTGAGCTCCACTGCTTGTAAAAGTTATACACAATACACAATAATTCGTTATCTGGTCTAGTAATTGACTGACTATCTGTGAAGACTATACATATAATCTCTCTCTCTCGGCTCAACATGTCCCTGACGCAAATGATTTAGTTTCGATAAATTAAGTGCAGTCGGCACGAAGCCTACACAGAATCAAATTCCTTACTCCTTTATCAAGGCGGACTAAAAAAAAATACATCTACCAGCATGGGGTTTCGAAGCGTAACACTACAGATTGGTCTATGTGATGGTTCCTTGAAACGGAGGGATGAGACCTCGATCGGGTAAATGAATTGGCAAGCTCACGCCAAACTGTTTCTCTTTCGATACACTTGTAGCACAAATCGCATCGGTTTACTCGCGTGGACAAAAAACGCCACAAAATCTACTTGAAGTTTATTCTTTAGTATCCACCTGTTATGAACTAGTAGTCTTCAATAAGATTCGCAAGATATTGACTTCACTTCTTCTGTGCGCCGCCTCCAAAAGCCTCTTAGTATGGTCGTGAGTGGGTGTCTAGGGTCGCGGATGGTTACTCTTCCCTTGCACCTCGCGAAATGCTCCTACACTACCGATCGTCTCGAATACCCTCTAGTGAAGAAGCCCTACTCACTACCTTCTCGTGTTGCGGAGGTGTATTCCCACCAAAGTGAGAGGAAGAAAATCCAATATCTGAGGTGGTGAGCCACTGATAGTTCACCAAAAACCCTGATTCCAAACCATACCTTTTCGGTTGAGGCAATGGTCACCAGTTCAATTGGGCATCGAGGTGTATGGCGCACATTGGACGTTTGACCTAGTCCGAAGAGCGGATGACCCGACGAATTGGACCCTGGCCCCTAATGGATTGCGGTTTTCACAAACCATCCTACTGCCTTGCGGGTCAGGCTTTGACTGGTCGAAGGCTTCGGTTGTGAATTCCTCAAGAAAATCTATCTGCTTTCGCCTGGGTAACCCGGCAGTATTTCACCCACAAACAAATCATGGAACTTTCTTTCTCCGTTTTATAAAGATTATTTTACTAGGATTTGTTCGGCATATAGTCTGTGTTGAGACGCGTGTGAAATACACACATGCTTCTATGTGCCTCCACTGCTTTCAGAAAGCACGACCAGATCGCACTCTACAACTATGTAGGTCTAGCCAACAGCCATTTGATATGGAACGGTAGTTCATTCCATTATATACCCCACAGAACTCGACGAAGTCGGACATGATTCAATTTGGTTTTCCCAAACATCTTCACCGGTGTCATTTCCTCGCGGTTTTCTTCCTGTCCGGCTTTACATAATGCAGTAAAAGATCTATTACAGGAATTACTTTCAAGCTTGTGGTTTTGCTGGTCCCATAGATTCGTGTTGTGGTTAAAAGACAATGATACAAAGAATTCCTTGTGTGAAATGTCACATGATACGGGCTTGTTCCACTGCTGCACGCAGCTTCACTTATGCTGGAATATAAGATGTGCTAATGCTCCATCGAGTCTCAATTTGAAAGATTCAATGATTGGCGCACAGACGACGTGCGATGGGAGAGTGTTCCAGATCGAACACATTCTGACTGTGAATGACTGACGCCGGCACTAGTTTGAACGGATGTCCTCTGAGATGAACGTTGAGTGATAATTTTAGCAGCGGGCGACACGAATGGTTCGGGTTTTGCATGATTTGGTATATCATAATCATGCCTCCTTTGATGCGCCGGCAGTGATTGGAATATAGCCCCAGTGAATTCCATGTCTCTGCGTATGAACACCGATTCAACCCCCTGACCATTTTGGTGGCCATCTATTGTGGACGCTCCAGCATTTTGCAATCACGTTGTAGCTATGGAGTCGATGCCTGAATAGCGTACTCTATGAGTGTGCGAATGTACGTTGATAACAGACGGGGTAAAAGCGCTGACTCAAACTGACCAAAGACCTGCCTAAGCAAACCGACATTCTCTACAGTTGCGTTTGACACCTCGGCACAGTTGAATGAGCAGCTTGAGTTTTCTTGAATGATGATGTCCAGGCCCCTCACTTGAGGCGAGTGGCAGTTGTTCATTTCTGAGGAGATACGAAAATCGCCCCGTGTCGTAGTGATAGAATCTTAAACTTTGGCATATTGAATTCAATATCGTTCAAAAGAGACCAGATATGAGCTGTTTTCAGCCTTTCTTGGAGTGCCAGCGATCCCGCTGGCAGCGCCATTGCATTCCAAACTTTGGCAAACAGTAATGATTTTTTGCCCCAAATCCTTCGGTGGGTCGTTTAGAAATGTGAGAAAAAGTAGCGGACCAAGCACAGATCTTTGTGGAACCCCATGAGTAACGTCCATAGGACTGGAAAGCGAATACTTACTTACTTTACTGCGGCTGGCTCCTTGGAAAGGACAAGCCCGCTCCAGACATGTGATGATCAAGATTATGCAGTTCCTTGGTACAAGAGATGTCTTCAAAGTCACTTGGTGTTGTTTTTTTATTTTGAGGGCGCACCTCTAGCCTTCGCACAACCAAGTGCGAACTGCAAGACAGCAGGAAGTGAGCCCTCTCATCGGAATTGAGGGAGTCAATGTCCTTAGTTTTGAAAGGCCAGTAACATCGATCTTTTTCACGACACCGTCATTGGGCTTATGCGGCTTTTAGTAAACAGGGGTCAGGTGAACAGCCTGGAACCCGCCACCACACCCTGGTAGTACCGCCGTTGTTTGTTCACGACTGCTTATTTGTTGCGGTATGCCACAGCTTTATCACAGCTAACCTTCTTCGAAGAAGGTATCCCCGTATCCATAACCCGGGGACGCGCCCGGTAGTATTCAGCTATGCTTAACCCGAGGGTATCCAGGACTGCAGGGCGAATCAGAAACATAAACCGATATGGTCCGATGTCGGAGAAATGCTTCGATCCAATCAAGCACGAGGCCCCGAACATCGCAATCATAGAGTTTCCGCAGTAGGATGTCTTGGTTCACCGGATCAAACGCTTTGAGAAGTCCAGATAAATAACGTCTACTGCGTCGCCGTCAACTTATTCACTAAAACACTCAACCGCATGCATATTCAACCTACGCTGCCCATTTTGGAACTGTTTGTCTGTAACGGCAGAATAGCATCTCCAATGTTGAAATCACTCAGAAGACTGTCCTCATAACCAATTCCCGTATCCTAAGGACATTCACAATAATTTCTGAGCAGTGACAAGTAACACAAAGCATCCTAGTGTTCAAATTGTTGTTTTTTGCCGATTTTAAGTTTGGATGGTAATTATGATAAGTTCAGTAGCCTCGGCGGGATTTGAACCCATACTGGACTTTGCCTACGCTTTTGTACAGCGCACACCCTACCATTTGAGCTACGAGGCCACACCGATAGCACTGATCTTTTCACATTCGAATTACCCATNACAATAGTTAGTATGTAAGCTGACTGCCCCTGAATGTGAAAAGATCACCTGGTAGAAAGTGCGCGAACAAAGTGCAGGTGACGTCTATGTGTGGGGTTGCATTCCACCGAGGCTACTGACTTTTTCTCTGTGAAACACATCCAAGCTCCTCACATAGGACGGTCTGACAAATCACNCTAATTTCACCACGTCACATGACCGCGTACTACGAAACGAAGAACAGCCAGTTTGATTACCTGTCTTTTTTCAATCGGTTGCCAAAAACACGGGGCATAGAAGAGGACAATTCAAAACATTCGATTGAAGAGTTCAAACGGATAGGATAGGATGCGGACGGGTAGCAAGTATAGTTTGGTTCATATATATATATATATATACAGCAGAAATGGAAACCAAAAAAGAAGATCACCACTAGCAAGGAGTTGTTGTTGTCTATAGTCGCTGAGGTCGTTTGCGACCGGTGTATTTGGAATCATGCGCGACCTCTTTCATCTGTTTCCGAGCACGTTCTTTTTTGTGCTTAATCCAGGCCACACTGTGTTTCGGAAGTTTTTTCGATTGACGCAAATCGCGTATTTCAGCCAGACGACCTTGAACCACACTGGTCGGTGCAGACAACGTGTTCGAACCGCCCTCGGTCAGGGGCTCGGGTCGATTTCGACATGTGCTAACATCGAGCACAAGAAAGTATCTGTGTTTACGAGGGCGGAGACGGAGACGGAGGGGGGGACAAAGGAGGGTGATGATGGAAAGGATGCAAAAAAGCATGTGTTTGTTTCATTTTTGCGTCTGACAGACCACTGGGGAACTGAACAAATCGATCATCAAATGGACGAACATGTGAATACAGAAACTAGATGATTTATTCATAGATATGAACCAAACATCAGTAGCCAGATTTCTTTAATCCCACAGGAGGATTTTACCACCGACTGTGCGAACATCATTTAAATGCATGCGATTCTTATGAAAGACATTCATTCATTGTACACGGATTTAACTTCCTGTCATCTTAATTCCGCTATTCCCTTAAGCATAAACATATATCGCAACTCTACGGTACCATCTTTGACAGGTATTTCTGATTAACAAAGAACAGGCTTTCGCAGACTTTCTCAAGTCTTTTTTAGATACAATCACTTTTCTCTATGGTGCCTATCTTTGACTTAAGCATTACGCATATCGAATTTATAGTTACAATACAAACGATACATTGGACTACATTTCACGGCAAGTAACCACATCTTCAGAATTTCCGAAACTGTACACGACGTTTATTGTGCACGTAATTCCACGTAATACCAGAAGTCTGCCTGTGGAGTCAACAGATAACAGTAAATATTTGTGGGATGAACAGCCGACGAGGTAAACCCCATTAGTCACGAAGACCTGCTGTTCAGTGATGGAAACCGGTAACTTAAGTCTCGGTACTGGGAATGACGAACCACACGGGGTCCTGCTAGATCAGGTGTGGTATGGAAACGAACGAAAGCCAAGCTGCCTGCACCACCAAAGTTGAGTAATGGTGTCGGGACTCGAACCTCGGACCATAAGGTTCAAAGCACACCGGTGACAGCGGCTAAACGACTACACCAACACGATCGTCAGCATCGTGTCTCGAGTGATTTAGTTGGGGATAAAGTGAAGGAGAAAAAATACATAGAAAATGGGGAAAGTTAGGCGGTGGTCATGGGATTCAAACACACAATCTTAATCGCCTGATCTTCGCGGCTTGAACAAAACAAAAGGTTGATGGCTAGTATATTGATCATTAAGGTTTCGTGGCGGTGGTGGTGGTTACAGGTTACTATTGCCATGTTTAATATTCTATGGTATATGATAAAACGCTGTGTGATAAATAAATTTTTAATGTCAGGTAACGAGATCTTTTTCTCCGGTCATTTTTCGAGATATTTCTCACACGAATAACTTCAACGTGACGGGTATACATACGGACACAGATAAGCAAATCGCCGGGGGGAGGTCCAACTCACTTCTTGGCTCGTGTACTGTTTGGGAAATCAATGATCAGACCCCCACTGAATCCGGCTCGAGCAGCCTCGCTCTGAAGCAGGTCAGCCTGAATCACAGAATCCGGGTAGAATTGTAACACAGCACGCGCGGATCGAGTCAGACAGGCATAGAGGGATGTAAAGAATGTGCGAATACGTGCGACCGGATTGTGAGAGGCCCGATCGGCGTTACAAAGCCACTGAATCGCGGACACACTGATTGCACCGTCAAATGTGCCACTGCGAAACGGTAACCCACAACCAATATCACCCAGGACCAGTTCACCCTCAACTTCACGCTGTTGAGCCACGGATAGCATGGCCTGACTGATATCGATACCGACCCACTGATGGCCAGCTTCCGTCACGGTTTCTCCGCTCAGACCAGAACCGCAACTAGAACAGAACGGAACGGAACGGGGAATTGGACATGCAAAATAATACCGACACAAAATGAGGATTGAACGTTATCGTTTCTAAAAGAGTAAGCAATTTGAGTCTTTGATGGTGGAACAAGATTTATTCTGTGCTACACTAAGATATCAGAGAGTTGTTTATCAAGGACTGGTCGTGATAAAATCCTTGTACAAATTACTGTGCACTTACAGCAGTATAATGCGCTTCATTAACTCAGCTACAAACATTCATCTCGTATGCCTGTAACACGTAGTAACAGGCACTTCTAGAAAACTGGTTTTATGGTGACTGGTGTTGTGTAATCACATGTTACACAGTCAATGTGAGCGTACTGTGACCTCATACATACAGTTTGTCTCTAGGATTAGAGCACATGATAGGAAATGTTTCCCTCACCGATCACTTACGTCCCCGTGTGACATTTCTGTGTATTGTCCCCATAAATCACGACTCAATCCACCCTAAGGTACATTCTTCCTTTTCCGCAACTATTATTTATCACACTTTTATCCCGTTACGATCTTCCACGGCTAATAGGAATTTCTTCTCCGACAACGGAGTACAACCGATGGTACAGAAGTAGCACAGGTACTCATAGTGTCAGATCCGAACGACGTTCAGAGTGTATCGAAAAATCGATGCGC